TACAGGACGTCTAACATAGCGCTTTCCATCTGAATTTACCATGTTTATTTTCGTTTCATCTGAAAATAAAACTTTTTTCCAGTATCGTATCGTCCAATTAACATATTTTTTTGCGAATAATAATCGCTTCTCTCATGTTGCTTGGTAAGAAGCGGTACCTTTCGAGAGGTTCTTCCAAACAATTTAGCTTCCACTAATCTTCGGCGTATCAGTCTTGATGAGACGTTTCTGGGGTCATCAGGCGAAAAAACTTCATTTTTAATCTGGTTTGAGCCTTTAAATGGGTCTTTTTTAGTAACACGAACGATTAGCTTATCTTCTCTGGTAGAGGTTTTTCTTGGCCGAGCCTTTCTAAGAACATTTTCAACAGTTCCATGTGTTTTATAGTGATCAATTGCATTAAAAACTTTCTTCACAGAACAAACAGCTATTCTTCTGTACGTCCACTTTTGATCTAAATGTAAATTAACAATTATTTGCCTAGTTGACGCGTCACAACTTTTACTTTTGCCCATTTTGAACAAAATTAAATTCAGACCAAATTTTGAATTGCCGCCAAATTAATAGAAAACATCAAGAAAGAAATGTTAATTCAATTTCAAAAAAAGAACGAGCTATAGATAAGCATCTATAGCTCGTCGTCATTTTCAAATGTTTCTAATTAGACGTCCAAGCGGCCAGGAACAGAAAATATACTCGTACATTGTGTAAGACTCATTTTATAATTAAAAGTAAGATATGTTTTATTTTTTATGCATTTAATGATTTTTTACTTGAGTGGCTATATTATTGCATGATTATTTATTATTGAATTTATATATTTTTCACGAACATTTGTACGTTGAAGTTAAACTTCGTTCAATCATAAGAAGTGTTTCTAATTAAACGACCACCACAGTATGTCTCGAGATACATCAACTTTTTGTTAAAACTCATTGGTTTTTGGCTCTGCAATTTGTGAAAAGTAGTCGTGCGTGTTACTACACAAGCCCTTGGTATTCCCTCTGATTCTATAATAAAACAAAAACGGATTAAAACGCAATATTAGAATAATCTAAACACCACGTGGTTTTGCAATATAATATTTGCCGATCTCCAATACCTCGAATTCGAGGGAAAACACGCGTAAAACATACTTTATTAATTAGCAAAAATCTCTATTTCAATATACCGGGTGGAAATTTGCAATGCCACCTGGAGAGAAAGTATTCTAAATACTGGAGATAGACATTTTTACTTAAATGAAACATTCCTTTATTTTTTTAAAGAAATAAAACTGCATTCATAGATTTTCGAAAATTTCTAGCAACACGCGGGAATCGAACCCGGTTTAATCTGAAAAAAATGCACCCTGCACTTTTATTGCGTCGATCGATATGGTTAATTATAAGAATAAAATCTCTCTCACAAAATTGGTTAATTAAATGAAGAAGAAAAAAACCATGAAATCTTAACGTATTTTAATAAAACGAAAAAAATGGTAATCTAACTAATTAGTTGCTCGAAATGAGCTCCATTTTCTTGGATACACAAATTTAATCCTTTAACGAATTCATTTTGAGTAACTTTTAATAACGTGTTGTGATGAATTGTATTTAAAATCGTATTCTGAACCTCAGCCTTCAACTAGTTTACACTCGCACAGGATTAAAGGTAAATTTGATTTTTAAAATATGCCCTGTAAAACTCGATTCCTTCACGATATTTTTCACAATAAGTATCGTAAAAGAATACTCAATTTTAACTAATTAACTCTCACGAAAATGCCGACAAAAGATAACGTGCACACAGGGCGACGACCAAATTCTAACAAATGCCTTAAGAGGGAGCAGAGGAAAAATTCCTAATCTTCGATTTGATTTTAGAGGGGTACGAGTATATCCACTTTCAAGTTTAAAATAAAATATTGAATGAGTAACTACACGATATATTCAAGCATAGACACTAATCAGAAACATAAAACAATAAAGTTTCCTCGATAGATAAAAATCACGAAATGACCTCTAATTTTCACATTTTTTCGATTCATCCTCGAAATGCTAATTAAAACTTAGATAATTAATTATATTTATGCATGATCGAGAACTGTCACTACGGATTTTTTTTAATCCCTTTAGTTTTGGAGTTATTCCGCTAAAACGAATTTGGTACTTTTAATGCGCAAAATTCAACATCTCCTGTCGAATGTCACGCAAACTTCAGGCATATATTTGTTTCACAAATTTGGGCGGCGCCAACGTCAAAACTTTTTTGGCATGCTTAATATTATTTAAATAAATTCTAATCACGACGCGGAATCTGAGAAGGGGAGGTGGGGAGGTATTGTCTATTGTTCTAAACTTATTAACCCTCCTCAGGAAGTTGTTATTTTATTCCTAGGGTCACTTTTTGAAAATAGATTTATGGCCGCCTAAATCTGTAATCTGCCCCTATGTGCGGCGTTGCCGAGAGCAGTAAGCGCGACCCGTGAAATACGGGCCGTAGGGGAAGCAACCTTTCCAAGATAATAGCCCTATATGGCGCAGTTGCGAATAGTATTGACAACAGTTTTCTAAACGAGTACGGTATATCACTGACCAAACAGTGTTATCTAATATACCCACAAAAATATATACTACAAATCTCTACTAAATAAGCATTCGATTTCCATTATCTCTTTGATTTGAGTCATCACCCTACCTTACTTTTTTCAGGTTATATATATTTGCGTGTGCGCACTGCAATGGCGGAGTGGAATACCTACGGCGGTTGGAGCTATGCTGGCTGGATCTTGCCCACCTGGCATTGTACAACCTGACGGCGTACAACGCACCAAACTATTTCGACCTCGACACAGTTATCATGCCGTACATTATGGACAACTGGCACGCGCTACAGTTGCCTGAAACTGTATTTGGTTTTCTTTTTCTATATTTTAAGTAACTAAAGAAATAAATATATTTCTCTAAAAGAAAAGAAACAAGATATCCGGTAGAAGACGGATCGTCCCAAATATACTTAGTAATTTTATGAAATCTCATAAGTTTTATTTATTCATTAATTTCAAAATATAAACAATAGTTTAAAAAAAATGTTGCGACGAACCACCTTATTCACAGATGTGGCGAACACCAGTGAATGAACGGCGAGAGAAAATCTTAACTGCCCTCACTTCAGCGCGCAAACGCTTTAAATGTGGACGCGAGATGAAGAAGCGCGCTACTATTTGGGGCTTGCGCTTGCGCCGCCCGCCGCCACCGCCAGCGCAGTTAACTGCGCTGGAACAGGTACTATTCATAACAGGAATTCAAAACCATAATAAATAATTTTTTTTTACAAAGTGTATTTTATTAAGCCCAAAAAATTGAATATTTGTCGACAGATCAAGAAAGGAGAACCACTGACTGACAAACTAGTGCGAGAGTATGCGCCTCGGCTACGATTCCTACCTCGAGCTCCATCGCCACCAGCACTTGCTAGTGTTGATGATAGGTAATGAAACCATTATCACAATTTGCACAAGAAGCTAGCTGTTGTTCTACCTAATTTTATCCATTTGTTGTAGTTCACAACCATCGTCTAGCAGTAGCAGTGAAAAAAGTTCCTATAAAAACCACACTCAACGTATGATAGTGCCGGTAGATGGTCATTGGTTAAACCTCATGATGGGCAAACGGTTTCATGAAAACCTAAACTCGAATTCCAACTCTGAAAATGACTCCACTAGTTCCTACGAATCTATTAAACACAATGAGAGTGATGAAAGACCTCCATCAACTACATTGTGTACATCCAGTACTAGGAAATCTGATGCCAAAGACGATAATTTAGAGAAAAGATCAGAAGTAGATGATAGTGAAGAAAAAGCAACATTTGAAACTCCTCCAGTGCCATCGCTTAACACCTCATTAGTACCCTGCTGTGTTAAGTTAGATAAACTTCCCAAAGAAGGTGTCGTCGACGATAATGATGAGAGCAAAGATACTGGGAATAATATAAATATCAATGCGCGTATGTCTAGAATAGCCACAATGAACTTAGAAGTTTCGAAATTATCGACTAAGAATATCATTGAACATTCCAAAATCATGTCACTGCAGCACATGGACAGCCTGCCGCCGTATGGTAACCATTTCAGCCACGAACTGGAGTCGTCTGGCGACGAAACTTCCAGTCGGGGCACGCTTGACGCTATCATACCACCACTAAAAGACTTTCAAGGGAAAAACAATCCCTTTTTGATGCAGACTAGTTATTCATCAAAGAAACCATTCAAATCTGGAAATAATGGAAAACAGAACCATTTCCATTCCCGATTCTCATTACCCAGTCAATTAAATCCAATCATAGTTCCATTTGTTCGACCGCTAAAACGGAAATTGAGTGAAAAGGACATTGTAATAGGCCCAAATGGTGAAGTAAAGCGTAGAAAATACAGAAGACCAAGAAAATATCTCCAAATGCAGCAGGTAACATTTTTATCACTAGAAAAAGCAATGAACAAGTCGTGCAATCTATTTAAAAGTAACTTTATTTTAAATCCTACTAATTTCTTAATTTTCAGCATAACAAGTCATGTCCACTGCCAGATGATAAGACTGCCCAACAAACCCAAAACGAGAATGTAGATTCACCGGCCTTGCCTGGACATACTAACGTGAAATTTCACGGCAGAAGACTGCGACAAAGGCAGGAAAAGAACTACTACGAGAACGCTCGGCGGAGTTCGAGTAACAATACTACTAATAATAACAGCGTGAAAAGTTTACAATTGAGTCCACACAAGTCCCAAAACGGCGCGGCTGAGGTTGACGCTGAGCAGCTGTCTGCTCTTAAGTCCAGCGTGCAATCATACTTCCGCGCCGGTCAGACTTTCTGCGTACTGGCGCGCCGTTTTGAGCCTGCTGCGCCTCCCGCCTACCTCATTGAGTGGGACTCCAACTCCTAGTGTGCAGTATCTAACCAGAAACTTAAGATGTCCTATCTCTTTATCTGTGCAAAGAAAGCTATATTTTTCTTTAGGAACGAAATTGAAAGATATCATAGGTATACAGGAGCAGTAACGTCATTCCGGGCTTTTATTTTTCTGGTCAGTGTATACATGAATTTATTTAAAATTATTATTGTAATAATATATTGTACTAAGCGATCGTAGTGTAATAAGATCAAGGAATGTGATATATTATTCCAAATAATGTGTTTTATTTCATAATTTCTTTGTTTACTTGTTTGATGAATATGAGCAGGAAGCACAAAATATTAATGTATATGTGAAAAAATCTAAGGAAGTGTAGGCTCGAAACCCCCTGTAGTAGACCCCCTGGTCTACTCTCGATCTCCGTCCGAAACAATTACTGCCAAATAAGCAATACTTGACCAAATGAAAAGAGACGTGATGCGAATGAAGCTTCACACTTGATACTTGTCTTTTAATTTTGTCGAATATTACTTATTTGACAGTAATTGTTTCGGACGGAGATCGCGAGTAGACCCCCCCAGTAATCCAGCTCGTTATCGAAGAACTTTAACGCGCAAAAATATAATTTAGAGAACTTCAAAACAGTTCATGCAGCACAACATCGTCAACACAAATTAATCACTACTTTTTTTCCATCTAACCCATTGATGATCTAACCATAAAATATAATATCGCCCGTGTAAATAAATGAGTAACTTATTACTACGGTATTTAAAGTACTGGCCAAAATATATCTTGGTAAAACGCAGGCTACACCGCAAGCGACACTGAGTTTGTTTCAGCTCACGTAGCCGCGGCATGTTTTCATACAACTCTTCACACCGCGAACTAAGCTAACCGAGCTAAGCACAGACTACTACGTTGAGCTAAGGTCGCATAATTGATTGCATGCAGCTAAGGTAGCTTAACTTCGCTTGCGGTGTGACCGGCGCTCTCAGCAGAAAACGGATAGCCGCAGCCGCAAAAATTGAATGTTGCCAACTTAAAAAATGTTACATCACATTTGGACTATAGCAGGCTAACTGACGACAGTTTCTAGAACTCTACTCAATGCTCAAGTCAGAATTTGAGTATGGTTTAAAGCACTCGAAATGGCATGGCATGGTAGGGACTTGAGTATGATTTCGAGTGCTTTAAACCATACTCAAATACTTGAGCATTGAATAGAGTTTTTTTTAAATTTTTTTAGTCGTTATTCAAGTAGTCTATGTATGTCTCTTTCACAGTTTGTGAAGTTAAATAAATTAAGAAACTTTCTTATGGACATTTCACTTAAAAAATCCTCCTACTGCGTAATCCTAGTAGTAGTACCAAGTACTATGTTTTTTGCCCGTGGTTCTACCAGTAGGACTACGGGCATTATTGTATGGACATTGGACCTACTGATCGGGTAGTATGCACAGTCACCGTCGATATTAATAATGTTACTGGTTCGGAGCTAACTACAATTGTTCTCTAGGATGATTCCTGTGACAGTTCATAAAAAATCGCAAGATATAATCTTGTAATAACGTGCACTGTTTAATGTATTTTATAAATTATTTTTGTAAATATCGCTTTTAAGTGAAAATATTATACGGTGCGTACAGTCACTGAAGAGCGCCGCAGCTGGCTTTAAAACCCAACTTCGTGTCTACTTCTGAATGGCCACTGACCAGCATGCTGATTTTGATTCAAATCGGAATCGATCCAATCGGGTAGTCTCGAAATCAGATGGGTTTCCGAGCGATATCTTTCTAATTTGTGAGTTAAATCAACTATTGTTACGATTTGAAATGTCAAAAGTTTCCGATCGGCCAGTTGTGAATCGCAATTGTGCGCCTCAACACGGACATGAACCAGTTTCCGATCTAGAAAGGCAATCAAAATCAAGATGCAGGCCAGCAAACGCGGTCTAGGGTGAAATAAGACTAAATTCTAAGTGTTCCTGTTACCAGGGCCCCATATCCACCTCGCCTGCACGCGGTGCACCCTGCACATAGCGAAAAGGGCTCTGGCCACACTTTAAACAGTATTCCCAAGGAGGGTTGACGTCAGGCAGGCGGCCGGTCATAAAACACCATGCCAAATCCGTTTACTACGCGTATTCACATAAAATACGTGTTGTGCCGAACCACAAGTTGCGCCCTTACAATAATAACGCATAGAATGATAGTTTCATATCAAACGAACTGTCACAAGTGAGGCAAAAATCAAATTCATATAGGCTAGTTTTAGTAGTAGGTTAATTTTCGGTTTTAGTGAATTATATAAAAATACAAGTTGAAACGCGTTACTTCCTTGCGGAATGTGCTGTTAATCTATATTACGTTTGTCTGATGTATTTTTACACTCATTTCGTCATTTTTAGCTACAATTCTTGAGCTGTTCGCGGTGCAAGTTGACCTTGAGCACTGAAGGCCCGCCCGCTCGTGTAGGCTCATTGGGAGCGCTTCAATTTGCCTCACTTAGCGTGTGCGGACTAGGTTTCTATGCGTTATTATTCTAAGGTTGCGCCAACTTTTGTAATAAGTTGCCATGGTAGTCTATAATTTTTTTATTTTGCCTTAAAATGATTTTTGTTAACAATTTCAAGGAATAATTAAAACAATTATTTTTTATGCTAGAACTACTTTTTTCTTATTTCTCTTGGCTCTTCGCGGTAACCGTTTTAGCCACTTTCAATGTGTTTTGACTAACTTGTTTTTTAAAACGGGAAAACTTTTATAAAATCATGGAATGTAATTTGGAAACGGGATTCGAAAATTGGAGGAATAGTGAAAAAGGAATCAGGCGTGGAATTATGAGATGTTAACAAACATGGTATAAATAAAGAATAAATATTATATTATTATTACTTTGTAAGTCAATGTACAGCACTTAAATTTTTATATTATTATCTAAAATAAATTTAGATAAATAAGTATATATAGAAGAGTTATTGGACAACAACAAAAGGTAGATGGAAGTCGGAAGAGGCACTTGGGATTGGATAAGAGAAGCACGATCAAATTTTGAGCAATTTAAAAAAATGTGATTTAAATCGCCAACTTCACCGCAGTCACACACATCGTCAACAACTATATTGAATCTCGCAAGGTGAACGGGAGTACATACGTGACCTAATCTCATACGAGTCAAAATGCTTGTTGCCACTCTGCTCAGTTTTAGTTTAGACAACCATGGTTTCACTGGTATTGATGGTTGGATATTGCTATGAAATCACCTTTCAACTGAGAGCTCTCCGTCCATGCTACAGTCCAATTATTTCTAAAAAATATCTTGGGAAGTGTGACCAGGTAATGGTTATAATTATAAATCTTGTAATGAGTCATGTCCCCATAACATCATTGGCGAGCTTGTCAGCGTGCTCATTGCCTAAAATTCTCGAGTTACTGAAAATCCAGGCGAACACTACTGAAAAATCCTTCAATCTACAATTGAATAGTAACTCTCTCGTATTAATAATTACCGGAGAGATAAGTTTTGATCTAAACGAATATCTTACAAGTGCCTGAAGGGCTCTCATAGAATCCGAAAATATTACGGTCTTTTTTAACTTAGCCAATAGAATATACTCAACGGATTTGTATAACCCGAAACATTCCCCAGTGAAAAAAGAACTCTCAGGAGGAAGCTTTATTTTCTGTACAATATTATATTAGGAGTGATAAACTCCAATTCCAACATTGCTATTGTTATTGTAGTTAGAAGCATCGCTGTAAATGTGATGCCAATTTTGGAATTTTGTGTCTGTAACGAAGTTAAAAAAATGTGAAGTTTCGACTGTTTCCTTGTTAACTCCTAAAGACAGGCGAACGTCAGGGGTTAATGTCAAAGCATCATAATTAACACAGAAGATAGGAAGATTCACTGATGTGTGAATTGGTGCGTGAATAAGATAAATACTTGGGGAAACTGATAACTAAACATGGAAGGGATTTATGAGACCGATAAGAAGAGGAAGATTCCACAGATAAACGCTCTAGTCTAGGTAACAAAGGGTGCTTAGTTAGCTGCAAGCATCGGAAAACATACTTATCCGATAGAAACTGTCTTCTTAAATGGAGGGGTGGTTCAATATGCTAGAACTATAGCAATTAGGGCTTTTTTCGCATTGTGATCATTAGCTAGACTATTTCGGTTACCGTCACAAAATATCGTTTTCTCGTTTCTGAAAAAATGGCGTCCGATTGGTTTAACGCAGCTTGTCCAAAGCAAGTCCTACATAAATTTCGGAATTTATTGGTTCCATCTAAACTCCCATTATAAATTCGTCATTCTTATCAACACTTGCGATCTTTTTTGGTTTTTAATTTTGTGTTTTAATTTGGCTTCTAAATCAAAATTTGCAATGGGAATACGTGGGGTACACTATAAGTTTCCGGAATGAATAAGAAAAAAATTCTGTAAATGGTAACAAATGAATTTATTGTTTCTCAAAATATTCTCCGTTAGCGTTAATGCACTTTTTCATACGAATGAACCAATTTTGAAAACATTTATGTCACTCCTTCCGTGACAATCTGTGAAACATATTTTTCATGCTCTTCGACAGCCTCTTCAGGTGATGAAAATCGTTGACCGCGTAACTGGTTCTTAATTTTTGGAAATAAATAAAAGTCACAAGGTGCCAGGGGCCTTATCATGATCTCTTATTACAGTTCAGTATAGGTTTGTAACGACAAAAAGCCGGGATGGTGATAGGTATACACTTCGCTGTCTCACAATAATGGCTATTTTAGGTCCTAAACTGAATCGTAATAAGAGTTCACGGTGTGACGGTGTGACCTCCTTTCACCGTCATCTCACCTCTTTGTATCGCCTCTCTCCGCTTGTATCCTATCATTTTTTATTTTACATGTATTTGAATTGTTCCATCTTCCTTCTTTTGCTCATTCTCATTTTGTTTTCGTACCACGGTCACTCTCAGCTTGACCTCGACAAGAGGCGGGAGCGTTAATAAGCTAATCATGTTTAACATTTCATAAGTCTACAGCCTTCATGTATCTATTTCTGTAATTCAGTTTCTCGGCCCTTTTGGGGTAAGTGTACTTTACTTATTCATTAAGTTAGGGAGTGTTTTATTTTGTCGTACCTGTTTTTCTATATATACCTTTTTATTGTTACAGTCTTACTCCTTTCTTTAAACTTTACTTCTTTAATAAATTTTGTGGACCGGAAGTTTCCATTTCATTGCCGTGAACCAGGTTCACG